ATGTATTCAACTTGGAATTGAAATACCATGCAGTTAGTATGATGCGCCGAACCCGGTGCATGCAATACAGATGAATGAATGCACGCATGCATAACATAAGGTATGCTAATTTAAATATGCCCTAATACTAACCATTGAAAGCAGGTAAATAAAAGGGAGAAAGAAGTAAGGGTTGGAAGACATACGCACACTCACACACACTTATTACACAATTGCCCTCGCTCGGAGGGTCCGAAAGAATAATACAGGCCAAATAATGAATTAACTATCCTAGTTAGTTAATTATTACAAAACTCCTAATTAATTAACAAATTAATTACAAAAACAGCCTAAATATGAAACTAAAGAGACCGCCTCAGCTCTGCCTCGGAATGCGTGGATGATGCATGCTTGATTTGCCTTGCTCGGAAACCCGTTACCATGCCACTGTTGCCTCTGTTTGCATTGTTCTGCACCTCTCTGAAGGATGTGAAAATTCTTGAGGCACCTCTGAACCATTCCCTGATCATTTTGGAACGCCACCGGCCAATGAAAAGCACCACCGACCATGTAAATGTGATAATCGACCATAAATTAGGTCACCGGCTGGACTCTGATGGTCGGTCGGCACTGAAAGTGGTCGGCCGGCCATTATTCCTGCATAATCTTGTTTTTGCTGCAGCAGTGGACAGACAGTGCATGTCAAGGAAATTTCAAAGCAATGTATGCATGGCCACACTCCCTATCATGTTATGGACTCAATGGAGTGTGGCCCTTGGTTCTCGGGCCACCAATCACGCATCTCGATGCATGATGGCCATAAGCACCAAGTTTGCCAATCAATGTAAATGAATGCAGCAAAACGAATGAATGTTTCACGTTCTATCATGTTGAGATCAAGGGCATCGGCGACCGAGGATTGAGACGTGTTCTGTCACTTTAAGTACGAACATATCTCATTCCTCATGTTTGGTTTGACACCCCAAACCAAGCAAAATATAATGCATGTATGCAATGCGGCTCAAGTATGCAACATGACTCAAATATGCAACATGAGACTAAGTTAACAAAGCATGCCAAATGCGGTGCAACCTATCCTGCAAGTATGCAATGTGCCAAACATGCAACAATACGCGATGTAATTAGCATGTGACAACACACAATGAACCAAATATACAACAAACATGCAACAAACATGTAATGGTGGGCTTAAACCGCAAAAGGCAAACCTCAGCCTTGCCTTTAACAATGGCTAAAAGTGATGGAAATGATAGATAAATGCTCATGCAAACATGTACACCAATGGGCCTAAAGCTAAGGTAACTTTCAAGAACACTCAAAAGATGATAAACATGAACATTAGATCAACATGTTAAATTTTGAAAATGTATAGAGGGTGATGTCAAATCAACCATGTTATGCAAGTAAGGCATGCAACAATGACCAAAACTTGAAGCCAACAAACGGGTCCAAACCATAGCTATGTCAACCAAACCTCAAAGGACCAAAATGACTTAAAACAGTCCTAAGGCACTCCAAAACAAGACAAAGCATGCATAGATCATGGTTAAAACATGCTAAGAAATAGATGCAAAACAAAGGGGGATTTAAGGCCACAAAGAGGGCACTCTACTATAACCACCCCAACCACATATGGCATAGACTAATCAATGCAAAACAGAGTTGTAACATGCAAAAGGAGTCTCAAAACCCACTGATGTGGCAGCCCAAAGCCTCAAACACATAGGCATGCACAATGACTCATTTTAAGGCACAAAAGAGCATCTCTTTAAAGCATGGAAAGGATGATGAATGCAAGCATACAAGCATGGATTATGGACTGAAATAGCATGGAAAATGATTCCAAATCACTTAAACAACCCAACTAAAGCATGCTAATGACTCACACACTCAAGGCTCACAAGCCAAAATGCATGGTGGCTATACCAAACATGGCAAACATGATCAAATCAGTACCCAACAGACCTCAAGCATGATGAAATATGACCAAAAGCTTCATGAAATTAAGCTAGAATATGCAAGCATGGAGGGGGCAAATGCATGGCTCATGTTATGACAATAAAGGTGGTTACTAGACAAGTGTATGATGCATGTAATGGACCATCAATCCGACCAAAAACAGAGGTATAATGTGACCAAATAACACCTAAAAACCTCTGAAATGGGGCTAAGTAAAGCTAAGCATGTATGCTACCCTTATGAGCCAAAAACATGAACAAATGAGACACAAAGGGAGAGGGGTGTCCCTCCCCTATACAAGACTTCAAGATCCCTTCACCACCACTGAAAATCCACTAGATTTCAGTGGTGAGAAGGCCAATACACAAAAGGTTCCAAAGCTCAACAAAGGAGGCACAAAAGGGGCCAAACAAGGCCTAAGAGGGGGAGGTCAACCCCCAACACCAAAATGACCTTAATGAAACATCTTAAACATCAAAAAATTGAACTTTTATCAGTTATACACAAAGCTCAAAATAGCATGCAAAGTGGGTTAAAAGCTAGTGCAAGAAAGAGGAATATAAAGTAATTATACTCACTCTTGAAGAACACTTGAAGAACAGTAACCTCAGGCCCCTTTTCTAATCGAAACCAGCTTAAAAGTTCTAAGAATAACCTCCCAACACCTCAATAACCCAAGTATGGTGTAATACTAGGTGCTTTAGTGCAAAACTAAGAACAAAACACCCTTTTAGACCCTCTAACACACACAAATGAAGAGAGAGGGAGATATATAGAGAGAAAGTTGTATATATCATATATCTCTGGTTTTTGTTGAACCTCTTCAAAGGAGAGGGAAGGCTCTGTTATATAGAGCAAGATAAAGACCTAAGCTTCTTAAAGAAGCTAAACAACTCAAGGAAGCTAAGGCAAAGGGTGCAAGCTTCTTGAGGAAGCTAAGACAAAGGGTCAAGCTTCCTCAAGAAGCTAAGGCAAAGGGTGCAAGCTTCTCCAAGAAGCTAGAGAAAAAAAGGTGCAAATAGTGCAAATCCTCCATACACGTGTATGGAGGACAAGTCCGTGCACTCCAGCTGGCATAGCTGACATGCACAATTCATGAAAAAGGCAAAAAGGAGGTACTGGCAAAAAAAAAAAAAGAATCGGCCAAATAAAGTGCCGGTCGACCACACAAAGAGCCGATACACCTAACAGAAGTGCTGACCGACCAAACATTTGGTCGGTAGCAAAAAAAGCAAGGCCGGTGGCTTCATGCCACGGCCGGTGGGTTTTAGGGGATGGCTAACAAGCCACTTCCTACCCTCAAGTGCAAAAACAAACAAGTTCTTGGTGCAAAACCAAGCACAGAACAGGCAAGTTAAGAGATCCCGACACAAGGTGCGCGGCCGAGACTTCCGGGAACTCAAAACGAACACGAACATGGATGATCACCGAGCGCTCAAACGATGACGTCCAAGTCTTGAGGATGGTCAAAAATGGGATGTCTACAACCTCCTTGTGGCTGACATGAACAGCTTCTACATGCCAAATATGACTTGTGACAACTGACGGAATGTTATTCGGACCCGTAGGTTGGGATTTAGAGACGAATACGCCAAAACTTTGTCGAAAAATGGCATTTTGGGGGTGAAAATTCAAAACAGCCCCTGAACCTACGTGTGGCCGAAATGATCAATTTCCCCATGCCAAATATGACTTGTGACAACTGGCGGAATGATATTCGAACCTGTAGGGTGGGATTTAGAGACGAATACGCCTAAAACTAAGTCGAAAAATGCCATTTCGGGGACGAAAATTCAAAATAGCCCCCGAACCTCCGTGTGGCCGAAACGAACAATTTTTCCATGCCAAATATGACTTGTGACAACTGATAGAATGATATTTGGACCCGTAGGTTAGGATTTAGAGACGAATATGCCCAAATCTTAGTCGAAAAAGGCCGTTTTAGGGGCGAAAATTCAAAATAGCCCCTTAACCTCCGTGTGGCCGACATGGGCAGCTTCCTTATTCGGACCTATAGGTTGGGATTTAGAGCCGAATACGCCCAAAACGTAGTCGAAAAAGGGCGTTTCGGTAGTGAAAATTCAAAACAGCCCCCGAATTTCCGTGTGGCCAAAACGAACAGTTTCCCCATGCTAAGTAGGATTTGTCACAACTGATGGAATGTTATTCGGTCCTGTAGGTTGAGATTTAGAGACGAATACGCCCAAAACTTAGTCGAAAAAGGGTGTTTCGGGGGCGAAACTTCAAAACAGCCCTTGAACTGCCGTATAGCCGAAATGAACAGTTTCCTCATGCCAAATATGACTTGTGACAAATGACGGAATGTTATTCGGACTCGTAAGTAGGGATTTAGAGCCAAATACGCCGAAAACTTAGTCGACAAAGGGTGTTTCGGGGGTGAAACTTCAAAATAGCCCCCGAACCTCTGTCTGACTCTCACGGGTAGCTTCCCCATTACAAATAGGACTTGTGACAACTGACGGAATGTATTGGAGATGTATAGTAATGGAAAATTATGAAAAAAAATATTCAGAAACCAATATGAACTCAGTTTACGCCTTGTTTTAAACTTGCTAATTTTTTGAACGTACACATGTGTGTTATTATTTTTATCACATGTTCTAATATCCTTTTTGAAATGGCACTGACATACATTAATAAGCACCGATGGTTTTATATCCAATCTAATGGTTCAAGTGCCTTTTGCAAACAAATAATGAGGAAGTTGATAAAAAGAATACTTTCTATTCACATTGGGTTTTGATATTGGTTTAGCCACAGAATTTGAATACATGTTGCATACAAATAGAAGATTGTTACATTAGCTTTATGTTACTAATGAAAGATTTAGTAATGATTGTTCTGCATTTAACAATGTTCCTTATAACAAAAGACTTTAGAAAGACTGTATAATGATTGATAATTGATTCATCATAGAAGGTTGCTTGTCACTTATTTTTATTTGTCACTTGTTCCCAAATTCATTTATGAAGTTGGGCATTTTTTGGTCCAATTCTAATGTTTTTTTTTTTTTTTTTTAGATGACTTCGTTGCGTGGACTTGCAGAGATATTTTGGTGTATGGAGAAAAAATTGTACTTTTGTATAGAAGTAATATAATACTTTTGTCGTCTCCGGCTTTTGTGCAATTAACTATTCCTAATATAGAAAACTTTTGGTAGCGAACAGATAATTATTGGCATGATAGATGGATCACCTTTTGATGCCGTACAGATATATGATTTTTTGTCGTGATGCATAGATGTATTTTTAGCTTGGTACATACATCACTTTTTGTCGTGGTACAGATTACGATGGTAATTTGTACCATGCCAAATGGTCATTTCACATGGTATAGTAAATGTAATTTTTGTATATGAAGGGTTTTACTTTTTGTATGATTGTATATGTTGTATGAAATTATTATTTTAGTTTGGACAATAGTTCGTTTGTATGTACTTGGACAGTTAAAGTAATTTATTTTTTGTATACGGATGCAGATTGTGGAATGATTGATAGTTTATTTAACATTTTATTTATATACGTACTACTAGTTGCATGGAATACAGACAGGTTATGGACACATTATAATATTTGTAATAAAACATAATATTATGTTTTTGCCGACTAAATGTTTTGTAGCCAATAAAAAGGGGGAAAAAAAAACAAACAAACAAACATATGGCTATTAAAAGTTTTGTAACTAAAAGAAAATCAAACATTTGGCTACTAAATTTTTTGTAGGCAAAAGAAAAACAATCATTTGGCTATTAAATTTTTTGTAGCCAAATGAAAATCAAACCTTATGGTTACTAAAGTTTTGTAGCCAAAAGAAAAGCAAACATTTGGTGACTAAAATATTTAGTAGTTAAAAATAAAAGTTGAAGAATAAAAATATTTTTGGCGACTAAAAATTTAGTAGCCAAAAATGTCTGAGTTTAGGCAACTAAATTTTTAATAGCCAAAAATGTGGAAGTTTAGGCAACTAAATTTTTAGTAGCCAAAAGAAATAATATTTGGCGACTAAAATTTTAGTAGCTAAAAAAGATTGACTTTAGGTGACTAAAATTTTAGTAGCTAAAACACTAGTATTTGCTTTAGGCGACTAAATAACTGGCTTTTGGCGACGAAAAAATTGGTCGGCAAAAATGTATTATTTAATTAATTTTCCAATCTATTGGCGACTAAATATTTAGTCGACAAAGGTATACATTTGGCGACTAAATTAGCTTTAGTCGGCAATTAGATTTCTCGACTACTCTTTCGCTACTAATTTTTCGGCCAAAAAATTTAGTCACTAAAGACTATAAGCGACTAAAAGAAGACTTTTGGCGACTAAAAATTTAGTCGCCAAAAGTGAAAATTCTTGTAGTGTCAAAATGATAAAGAGGAGTTTTCAAATGGTCTCTTGGAAAAGTTTGTGGCTATAAAATTGGGATTGATATATGTTGAAATGAGGTATTTTTTTACATTGAAATTGATTTTCATAGAGAAATGGATTTTTGCCCAAAAATATGAATGTTTGAGATTGTAAAGAGAAAAATGAAATTGATATGGAAATTTTGAAATTGAAATAATGATAATGATGAGGGTGGAGTTAGATATGTATTATCACTCCCATTTTAAGATTGTGAAAAAATGTATCTTTAATTAAATTTATTTATCTGTTTAGAGATATCTATTTTGGGTTATTGGTAGATGATAATTATGAGTGTTGTAGAAATTGCATGAGAATTAGGTGAACCAAAACTAATTTTTCATCCATGTGCATTGAACATTCTTACTTATTTACTACATTGAAAATGTATATGATATTGAGAAAAATATGTGAACGTTAAAAAGAGGTGTGTATCACAAAATCAAGTTGACCTGTGTGTCTAACGTAAAAGTCTCGAAAAACGCGCGTATACATGAGTGTCGGTTTCCGCAGACGAAATATCCATAAAATAACAATAGTAGTGCTTGTATAAGCTACGTTTATATGGGTGTCGTTTGACGATTTTTTGCAGACGAGATATCCGTGAAAGGTTGTACTGGTTTGAGATTTCTCCTTATTTTCTATTGTAAAAGGCATGATTTTGAGAATTATGATACAAACCTGACATGACATGATTTTTGAAAAGAAATGTAAAACATTTTGGTATGGGTATTACATATGCATAAAACCTTATGGCTTTGTTAAGATTTAAATATTGTGTTGTAGCATTTCTACTAGATTTTGGCTTATCCTATGTGGGAAAAACATGTTTTAGTAGGAGTGATATGCCTCCTTAGCTTGGGAGGACTGTGGAGTTGAAGGCTTAGTATTGTATTTTTTATAGTTAATTTTATATAAGCTTAGATCTTTATTTGTATTGAGCTTAAGATTCACTTTTGATGTACCCAAGCATTGACTTGGAAAGATGTAAGCCTTATTTCTTTTCACAATCTCGTAACACATATTGTAGATTCAGGATGTACTGTTTATGAATGTATATTGCATGTGTCATCTTTTGTACATCAACCTCTGATTAATGAAAGTTTATCAGTTCAATTATTTTGTTATTTATTTGTTATTATGAGATGAGTATATTGTAATTATTTCGGGACGTTGTATATTTTAAACAAATTTTAAAAGACGTATTTATAATTTATCCCTTTCTTTATATATACTTTTGATTAGATTATTAAATAAAATAAAATATCAATAATAATAAAAAATAAAATACAAAAAATTAAACAAACAATGTTTGAGTTTGAAAATAAAAAGAGGAATACATTCAATAATAACGGTCTCCACCGCCCACTAATGTGAAAAAAAAAAAAATAATAATAAAATAAAGTTTGAAGGAAAATGATGTCAATTTCGGTATTGACTTGGTCGTACGTAGTTAAAAAAGGTTACTTGAGCTAGGGTCTGGTAAAAATCGTAAATTAATCTGATTGAGATAAAATAATATGGTTTGGTTTAATTTTTTTTAATGCATGTTCAGGCGAATCGTACTTAACGGTTCCATTTGAGTATAAAAGTTAAAATATTCGTAAATTGATACGGTCAAGATCAAATTGCGCAATTTGATTTGGTTTGATTTGATTTTATTAATGTACCATTTGATTATGATTTTAAAAATAGGCGAGTTATATTTCACAATCCGTGGTTTTATAAGTATAAATCCAATTGAAACTGAACTGGAACATTTAGATTATATATATAATTTGTTTCTGTATGCAAATATTAAAATATTTTATTAATATAAATATATATATATATATATATATTATAACTCTCTACTATTAAAAATATATTTTTATATAGTGATAGAACTAGTTTTAAACAATTAAATAAAAATTCTAAAGTTTGGAATAATATTTTGTAATCATATTGTTAATAATAATAATATTTTTAAAATTCGCGGTTCCAAACCAAACCGAACTATGGTTCAGTGATTCGGTTCGGATTAGTTCTAAAATTTTGAATGGATTGGTTTGGTTTTAAATTTGATGGAACTATAAGTAATGAATTAGTCTTGGTTTACAACTAAACCAAGCCAATTCAAACCACGCTCACCTCTCGGGTCTAGATTTTTTTTTTAAAATTTTGGGCAAATTACTTACATCCTCTTGAAGTTTAGCTAAAATATAAATTCATTCTTGAGATTTCAAAAATTACATCTCACTCTCAAAGTTTTGTAGCCACATAACAATTTACCCCATGCCGCCGTGAAGTAAACGTTAGGAATTATTAACAGAAACTTGCTAACATCACAAAAATAGGCCGTGATGGACAATATTGTTAGTCTAGCAATACAATTAACAATATATTAAACATGAATATTATAAATAAAAATGACAATAAATAATAATATATATAGATAAAAAATAAAAGTAGAAAAAATAAAAGTAAAAAAAAAAAAAAAAAAAAAAACTGTTAGATTTTGGAAGTCACCTTGTTACCCTCTTAAAACTGCTCTTCCTCTTTTTTTGGGTAAGTAACTGCTCTTCGTCTCATTGTAAAGGGCAAATTACATATATCTCCTTCGAGATTTAGTTAAATTATAGATATTTTGAACTTTCGAAAATTGTAGATATTCTCTGAGATTTATATTTTCATAACAAATTGTCCCTTGAGATTTGTATTTTCATAACAATTTGCCCCCTAATTTGTTATGCGAATAGTACTTTCAGGAGGTATTTGTAATTTTTCAAATCTCGGGGAGTATCTATAATTTTGCTAAATCTCAAGGGGTATATGTAATTTGCCCCATTGTAAAAGTACAACTGAAATAATACAGTTTCAAGATAAAATTTAAGTTGCTCGCACCATCTCTCATCAAGTGTTCACAACCACCAAAAAATTTGAACCAAACCACAAATTAGAGTTACTCAAAATAATATAAAATACATTTAAAGAAATAGAGAACTCTCTCTACATCTCTTATTTTGAAATCACATTTCTTCTGTTAAATCATCTTTTCGTGTCTCTTCTTGTGGCTCTAAACCTTTAGAAGACCATAAGTGCATAGAGAGAGAGAGCGAGGGTATTGTTTAGTCAATCCACTTAATAGCACAATTATAATAAATATTAAAACGGATTTCCAAATTAAACACAACTAACCCATCACCCGTGCTGTATACATGATGAAATAATATATTATTTATTAAAAATATAATAATTATATTTAATTTGTATACATGATAACTCATAATAAAAAATAATATATTATTTATTAAAAATACAATAATTATATTTAATTTTTTATATTTTGTCTCTCATAAATAAAATTTTATATATAAGTTTAAGAGTTTTGTTTCAAATGTTCGTTTACTATAATTTATAGTATAGATAGATTAAAATTGTTGTATTGACAATTAATAATTAAAATTATACTTTGTTATAAAAAAAAATGACATAGTTCTAATATTTCACTATTTTAGAATAAAAATATATGAATTTTAAAAAATTGTCATATTGGTTTTTGAAAGGGAAATGATTTTAAAAAATTTAAAAACTTAATGAGTAAGAAAGAATCATCATAACAAGTAAAATCGCTAAAATCACGGTTAAACCAGCAAATCATTTTAAATAAAAATGGTTTAATTTAATCAATTAGGTCAAAAGACCAACCAACTTACACAAAAATTAATTAATTAAAACTTCTAAATTTTATTTTATTAAAATTTAAACTGTCACTAAAGATGAAAAGCAATCTATTAATTTAAATTTAAAATTAACACAATATAAATTTAAAATTATAATAATCTATCCCATAATTTATAAGTTTTAAATACCCATAATTTATAAGTTTTAAATACAAATTTAAAATTATCATAATTATCTCATAATTTTTGTATTAAGAAGCAGTAAAATGGCATTGAGATTATCAATATATCTATATATTTTACAAAATAATACTTTTAAAGTGAGATATTATGAGAGTTTTAAAATCTCATCCAACATTATTTTTAAAATCAAAACCTCTATGTGGGATTGTAAAATAAAGTTAAATGGAAG